ATTTCTTGTTAATCCGGAAAAACCTCATATAGATTACCATTAATATAAAAAATAATTGTAAAATGCGCAGATGATTCGATTCAACTTCGAATACTTATAGAGTACATAAAAAAGTTTTTTCGCATGATCCGTGACTCTGAGCCGACTAGTGTTACATTATGCACAGTACTTGGATAGCATACTGTGAATATTCCGCAACAATAATGACGGTAAGAAATCAACAAGTGTCGGTATATTTTAACGGATCGTGACGTAAAACTCCTACGGCCAGGCATGCATTGTAATAAAATCAAGTTAAAAAAATTGTAACATCAGTGATAACCCTTTTTTATGGAAAATGATGAGCGAAACAGTCAAACAATTACTGCGTGCTAAGTTTGTCTTACACAAATACGTAATTCCAAAACATCAATTTTTTCTGAATCGAGAAACAAAGCATTAAAATTCAATAAATACCAGGCTATACCATCTTTCAGCTAATACCACACAGCATACATTTTAAAATTTCTTTTTCGTCGAACTTAAGACATTTCGCATTTACCAAACCGTTTATTAATTAAAAAATATAAATAAATAAATAAATATATATAAAAGAAGATAGACAATTAAAAAAAAGGGGGGTTTTTTCGCACTTTGGAAGAATTATTAAATAATCCTTTCGCTACCAAATTCCATCATGTCAAGGCCCAAGGAACCAGCCACCGCCGGCAGAAAATGCCGAGTTAGGGTCAATTTTGTGGAAGTCAAAAAGGTACAAGATAACAAACGGATGTATACGTAAAAAATTCGTTTATCAAATAATGATTTATAAATGACATTTATTCCATTCAGTTTAAATACCCAACCGTCTATTTTTACACCGTGGAAATCTATAACAAAAGAAGGCAACCCGCTCCAAAAAAATATCATGATTTGGTCATTGCCGAAATTTTAAAGACCAGGAAATTGGGTGATACCTTTCCTGCCTACTACGGAAATCGCCTGTACTCTCAGATTGACATCCTGAGGGGGAATAGTCAGAGGAAAGTGGAAGTAAGAATTCGCAAGATTTACTTGTTTTCGAAATATCGCGCGCACACATAATAACGATAGTCTGTTAGGTTAAAATGGAGGGGGATCCGTTCTTCGTTGCAATCAAGTATACCGGAGAAATTGACCTCAGAAACATCGACCTAGGCTCGAACCAACCTTGGGACGATAAGATCCAGAATACGTTGACAGTGCTCAATGCATATATTAACACAAAATTGCGCCTTCAACCTAAAAATATAAGTCTCAGCAGTAAATCGAACGCTATTTTCCAAGTCGAGAAGGATCTAAAGAAAAGAGAATTCTTGATTTACGGGATTGAACTTTTGCACGGATTTTTCCAATCCGTGCGCCCAGGATGGGGTATGCTTTGACCACCACTCGTGCCCTCCCTCACTTTTCTTTTTGCACTCGCTTCATATTAATCACTTTGAATTTTCAATATGACACCATTAGATAAACTGTTTTTAAATGTCGATACTTGTCATACAACCTTCTATCCTCACGGAGATTTGTTCTCTTTACTTCCAAAGTTTCTAAAAGAATCCAATAGAGTACCGGAAAGAATGAGCAATGACCTGGATAAGGGACTCTCACTCAGGGATATAAAAAATTTAAGTTACCGTCTGAAGGGTATCAAGTTCGCCACCATGTACAACAAAAGGAAGTACACAATTGACTCGATCTCCATGGAATCTGCCAACGACTACAAATTTAAAAATGAAGAGGGCCAACTTATCAGCGTCAGTGACTACTTCAGCCAATGTGGCTTAACTTTGTCGCACCCTAAACTTCCCTGCGTTGTCGTCGTGAAAAAGGGTAAGGATGGTCAGAAAAAATCATCCTACTTTCCGCTTGAAGTTTGTAATCTCGTTCCCGGTAAGCAACCTTAGATCTAAACTTGGTTTTCGGATTGGCAACTTAAAACTTACTCTAGACACATTTCCCATCCGCCAGGTCAGAAATTTCCTGCAGAAAATTTAACGCTAGCTCAAAATGGCGACATGATAAGAAAAACTGCGATTGATCCAAAGACGCGATTTGAAAAAATTGACCGGGCACTTCGAGAAATATACGACCACGGATCCAACGAATACCTTAAATCTATTGATTTGGAACCTGACCAAAAGCTCACTGAAATGATTGGTAAGTTTTCTCATTTTTCTACTGAACTCCTCAATTGGGTTAGCGAAGCATCTATTCATACTTCGTGTTGAAATCCACATTCTTAGCCCGAATTATCGAGGGACCAAATATGGTGGCGGGTGGGCTAAACGGAAAGGAAGTAAAGGTCATACCAAAGTTGGGAGTCTGGGAAGTCGAAAAGTTCAAAAAGGTATATTATCGTGCATTGTTCCGTCAAGAAGTGTATGCACTGTGTCGATTGCTCTAAATACGTTCGCCACAATTGTCTTCAGGGTGCGTCTCTTCACAATTGGTCTGTGGTGGTATTTGAGGATCCTAGAAAATTGAAAAGTCAGGATGTGAGAACTGCCATGGGCAAATTCATCGATACTCTCGTCGAAAAGGGAATCGTAAGTTATTGATTGAGGTTGGGAATGAGTACATTTCATATTCGAGTTATTTATTTTATCACATTATTTACTTTTCAGGAGGTGACAAATAAAGAACCAAAGATTAGTTATGCTCAGATTCCAGTTAGATTTGAGGAAGATTGTGAATTCGGATATAATGATGTTAAAAATGTAAGTCTCCTTGAAAGGGAATTAATTAATACACTTCTCTGGTAATTCACGATCGCCAGAATAATAAATTTTATGCACGCAAAAAAATAAAGGCATTTGAAGCAGGATTTGCAAATGCCAAAGTCAAAAAAGATCGGAAACCACAATTGGTTGTCTGCATTCTCAACAAGAAATCGGAAAGTCCGCAAGGATTGTATGCGACGATAAAGGTGTTATCTTTGTTAGAATTTGGCGTACTCACTCAATGCCTTCTGGCTTCGAATTTGGATCCGTCGGTCTATCAGAAACTCGTACCCAAGCTCAACACCAAATTGGGTGGTACCAACTCTTCTCTGGTTTCAGGCGAGATTAATTTCAAGTCTAAGAAGACGGTAGGTATCACTAAACTGGTTGGTTCAAATTGCCGTTACAAGAGCTCATCTCATCCCGTTCGTAGGCAATGATAATGGGCGCTGATGTATATCACCCCGGTAGAGAAGAAAAGATGCAGGGTTTCCCCAGTGTTGCTTCGGTATGCGCTTCAATGGATCCTGATGCAGCACGATATATTGCCCGTTATAGAATGAATAAATACCTAAATAATGAGACCATCGAGACACTTAGTGAGATGGTTGGCGAACTACTCGAGGAATTTGAGAAACGAAACGGCTACCTTCCGGACCATATCATCTTCTATCGTGATGGTGTGTCCGAAGTGCAGATCATAAAAATAATGGAAGAGGAGATTGAAGTGTTGAAAGAGTTTCTTAAACAGCTCTATGGAAATCAGAAGTTGGAAGAGCCAAAACTGACTTTATTGATATGTCAAAAACGGCACCACATGAGGTCCATCCCCGTTAATAAAGAAGACGCACACCCTAAAACTGGCAATTGCCTTACTGGCACCATAATTGACTCGTACATTGTGATGGAAAATGAATTTAGTTTCTGTAAGTGTGCGGTCTACGATAAATTCCTCCGATGTTGATTTTTACGTACTAAAAATCTTGCACCACACCATTAGTCCTTTTAAGCCAGGCGACGGTTCCTCGCGGAACTGCTCGCTCCACGTACTACCGTATTATACTCAACGAAGGAGGTTTCTCCGCCGACGAAATTCAAAGGTTGACCTATAATTTGTGCTTTTTATCGGCGAGGTAATATTCTAATCTCGAAATTGTGAAAAGATCAATGTCCAAATCACCTTGAACTAAATCGTTTCTTTTTTGAAGGTGCGACATGTCAATTTCGCAAACCGCTCCGGGCTGTTACGCTCACCTTATCGCAAATCAGGCAAAATATTTCGTCACATTTAAAAAAGTTGCCATTTTTCAAAGGGGCGAACGTGGTCGTGGTCGCGGTCGTGGTCGTGGTCGCGGTCGCGGTCGTGGTGGTGGTGGTGGTGGTGGTGAGAGTAGTAATGTTGGCTCCAATGAACGTAAGGTCGTCGCAGACGGAAAATGGAAACGCGTGATGAAACCCGTTGAGAATGAAATGTGGTTCCTTTAAGTTATCAAGTTATCTTTGTCGATATCATAAGCTTCAATGGAAAATTCTACCTTAGCACTATTATGAAGCATCGCAATATTTAAGATACCGCATATATAAGCTTTTTTTTTGTTGATTTAACATTTTTTATGTATGGCATATATCATATATCGTCTCTCTAAACTAAGCAGTTTCCTATTATATTGAAATAAAAAATATATTTTTTTTTAACGAGAAACGCGAGAAAACTTGGAAAACATTGCATATTGAGGCTCACAATCGTTTGTGATACAGAAGGAAAAAATTTAATGATTGTTTTAATGCAAGCATTGTCAATTAAAACAATAGATTTTGAAACAAATAAGTTTACCACATCTTTAATCGGTTTAATTCAATTGTGCAACGTCAATCACCACACAAAGTTTCAAACTCAATTTACGATTTCGACGATGGAGTAAAATAACAATATCCATCAGAATCAATGAATGCCAATTTGATTTTTGATAAATGATACATCACCCGAGCAAAATCATCATATCTTCACAAGATATACTGTACATGATTCTTAACTGTATTTATTTGCACATTGGAGAAAATACCGTCCGTTGAAATGATTTCTCTTCCCACCATTCCTGCAATTCCTCACCTACTTCAACCATTAGTTGAATCATGTGTCCTCCTGGCGATCGTGTCTTTCCTTGTGATCCCCTGCTCCGTTCTCCTATTCGCCTGGGATCTGTTGGTTGGAAGCCACGAAGAAGTCAGAAAACCAAAAGTTGTTCTGATCACGGGTGCAAGGTTAATGGGTTGGAATGCACGCTCATCGTCATCGGATTTCGGATTTTGTTGTAATTATTTATCTGTTATTTATTAGTTCCGGGATTGGGAAAGCCATCGCATTGGAGTACGCAAAACCTGAAGTCACTTTGGGTCTCTTGGCACGTAACAAAGGTATTTGGGTATATGCTATGTAACTATTTATTTACAGTATGCTGGAAAAAAATAAATGTGATGGGAAAAACCCAGATCGCTTGGATATGGTGGCAAAGGAATGCGAAGACAAAGGAGCCACATCCAAAGTGCTGTGCGTTGATATTTCAGATACCGATAACTTGACCAAGGCGCTAGAAGATTTTGATGATCAACATCCAATTGATCTCTTGTTTGCGAATGCTGGTAGGTTTTCGTTATTTACCGATCGCATTTTTTTTTTTTTTTCATCCTTAATAATTCCTGATTGTTAATCAGCCATAACTCGGGGAACCCATGACGATGATGACGCAACAGAATGGGAGGATCTATGGAAACAGATTATCGACGTAAATTATTCGGGAAATGTTTGTACCGTGATGACTGTATACAAAAGAATGAGAAAGCGGAATTCTGGTCAGATCGCAAGTACGTGGTCACTACGTATTCCGGAAATTTGCGCATAGAACAATGCTTCTGACTCCATGTTTCATTTCTCCCCCAACTGCGCTTTAACAAGTCACATCATCAATCCAAGGTTTCTTTGGCTTCCCGAATGGATGTTGGTACAATTCCACCAAATCGGCCTTAAATTCATTTGCACGTGATCTCAGATACATTGCAAAACCACATAACATACGTGTTTCCCTGATCACACCGGGCGCAATTGCCACGAACATGACTTTAAATAGCAAATTCAAAGTGCACCCCTTTGTTCTCAACGACTCGGCTGGATTGGCCAATGTCATTAGAGAGCAATTGGAATCGAACGTTTTTTGCATCGTTTGGCCATTCCATCAAATGTTATTCGCCTGGGTTTTGTCGACTTTCCCGCCTAGAGTTTCGATTCTGATTTCCTGGATTTATGGAAGACTCATTGAGAAATTTCACGGAATAACCAATTATTCTTAACAAACCCAGATCGTCTTATTCTTTCTTAAAATTTGGATGTGCTATTTTGCGACTTTTAAAGGACCGTGTAATGACGGAAATAAGATGCCCAAGTCGATATCAATGCCCAGAGGGAAATTCCCAAGTGTTAATTTCGAATTAAAAACACGCGTACGCATGACTTTGTGTCTAGGAAGGCATGCTACCCATCTTTGACACTCCACATCGATATTTTTAAAAATTATACATATTACTGTTTCAATCTTTTTTGTAAGCCTTTGAATTTTTACTTGCACGTGCGGACGATTATTTTTGGAACCAAGTAAAAAAAAAAAGGTTATATTATATATACTGGGCAGTACTATTGGCCGCGATTTACATTGGAAGATTTTTATGGATATTAAATTTATTTTTTATAATGTTTAATTTACAGTATATATTAAAATATGAAGAAAAAGAATATATAGCATGCGTAAAGTTTATAATAATTAAGGAAATCCACGCTTAACGAGATTAAGATCTCTACCTCGAGGCGTCCCCGAAATAATATAACAAATGTCACCAACTTAACTCGCATCGACAAGTTGGATATGTCGAGGTTGAAATTTCTCGTTACCAGTAAAGTGAAACAATTGTTCTGTTGATGTTCCTCCCGATTTTGTATAGCCTAATGATGAGGACATGCAATAAAATAATGTACAGAATCGGTGGATCTTGTTTCTTCACATGAAGGTTACATTCCCAATAAAGAGTTAGTAAAACTATTTAACATCGTTTTTATCGTTATGCGTTGACGAAGGATTTGACTCTGAGAGTCTTTGAAAGACTTCTCCCAACGAAGGAGGCATATGGGTTCGATGAGGATATTGATTAATTGGCGTTGGTGGTGGTGTTATTACAGTTTCTTGTGAATCCTCGCTGATTGGTTCATTCGTTGAGATACTCAGGTTCCTTATGCCACCAGTGGATCTATCGTTGCTCGATGTCCTCGAACCATATATTCCAGCCATATTTCTGAGTTTTTCGGCAGTTTCAGGACCCATGCGTGCAACTAGATTATAAAAGAATCCTTCGGGATTATCTAATAAATGTCCGGGTTCGTCAAATTCAATCACACGTCCTTCATCCAAACACAATATTCGATCCGCTTCCATGATCGTGTTCTGTGTATGAATTATAAAGTTCATTAACAAATGCTGCGATGAATAATCGATCAAATGAAATATGCAATATATATATATATGGATCACATAGTCACCAGTCGATGTGCAATCGTCAAAATTGTGTGATCCTCAAAATTCTTTTTAATGGTTTCCCGTATGATCAGATCTGTCTGTGGGTCGACCGCACTCGTCGCCTCATCTAACACCAAAATGTTTGTCTTTTTCAAGAGTGCCCTGGCAATACAGAACAGTTGTCTTTGCCCCAGTGAAAAATTTTTGCCATTTTCCAACACTTGCGTATTTAATTTATCATGCATTGATTTGACCTTATCCTGTAGATGTACCTCCTTAAGCGCGGCCCAAATCTCGTCATCGGTACATTTGTTAAACGGATCAAGATTCGATCTTATCGTTCCAGCAAATATTACAGGTTCTTTTTTTTTTTTTTGACAAAATAAAATTGTGTAAACACGCGTATTAAATAAACCATCCCGAATATTCTTTATCTTCAGACAATTGGTTCCCGTTACCTTGAGGAATTATTGCAATCTTGTTTCTCAGATCACGAAGTCCAATGGTGCTGATGTCCAAATTATCGATATATATTTGACCTTCGGTTGATTCAACGATCCTTAGCAGACTGATAAGTAAAGTTGATTTTCCTTGAAAGTAAATAAAACGAATAAACTGTGGGCTTATTCCAAGATCATGCGTATCTATCTATATTCATGCATTTTCGATACGAAAGCGACTTACCAGATCCCGTCTTTCCCACGATTCCGACCTTCTCTCGAGGGCGAATATGGAAAGAGATATTTCTTAAAACTGCCACGCCATATATGTTGTACCTGAGAGTAACATGCTTAAATTCAATCTAAAAGTGAATTGAAAATAAAAATAAATATCAATTAACGTGATCGACGTGACAAGTATGTTCGAAGAAATAAAATCAATCAAATATTCAGCGAGAGTCTTCGCCACTTCCAATGTCATTACCTCGCCACGTTCTCCCCAGTCCGAAGGAGGCCTGTTAGACTCGACTATGTTAGATGCCTATGACACGCAAAAATTAAAATTCCGTGTTTCATGTATGCAGCATAAACGAGTTAAATAATAAAGACCTCCTCCTACCTCGGACGGGATACCCTCTCGGAAATACAGTAATTGTTGCACGCTATCCATATTTGTGGCAACATCGCGTCCAGAGTGGACCATCCATTGACCAAAAATTAATAGTTGCATTGCATTTGCCACCGCCAGACCCGCGGTTGAAGGTGAAATGCTCTTATTGTAGAAAACAATAACAAATAAGGCAGTCGTATAAACAAAGATGGATGCCATTATATCAATATATAACGATTGCCAGAATTTGACTGGTGCAGCAAGAAATGAATGCGGATTAGAGAAATAGGCGCGTTTCAGAAAGGCGAATTTAAATGCCGATCTTACCTTGCATCATGGCGAATAATGCCTTATTATTAGCATCAATTCTTTCCAAATTCATGGAATCAAACCGCGTTTGAGCATTGTAAACACGTATGCTTGCTAGTCCCTCAAGTGAAGCGGACAAGTGTGCGAAAATGGGTGGCTTACTGTCGGCTTATTTTGTCAGTGAATATATCCAAAATATGTTATCCGATAACTCGTAAGAAAAAAGGCTGCGTAAGATTTTAAAAAAGTCAACCTACCGTCCAAAACTTTAAACCTCTCTTCGAGGCCCTTTGAATAATGAATTATAAGCCAAGTTATAATAATTAGCACGGTGGCTGACAAAGCTGTCCATGGGACTAGTACAATAACAAATATAATTGTACCGATGACTAGTGGAAAGTAGGATAAGAACTAAGAAAGAAAGAATCGACGATAAGTACCAGAAAGGCTTGAAATTAATTATGGAACTAGAGGCATTTCATCATGATGAAAAAAAAAAAAACAAAACAAAACCTGCAGTGCATTGTCGCTTAAAACGTCTTCAACAAGAGACTGATGTTTTGCGAATACGTTTAATATTTTTCCTAGCGGGGTGACATCAAAATATGACATTGGTGCACGCATGATTCTCTAGTCATTGTTCCCAAAAAGAATCTGTGTTTATCCCTGCTCATGTATAATTTGTCATTTAACCAAGTTAAAGAGAATCAAAATATCTTACCAAGAACGTCCTATTATGCATGGATTGACTTTTGCGCATCACCACCCAAGCGAAAAATACGCCTCGCGCAAAAACACCAATAAGGATTGTTACCTATAATTGAGTAGTCCATAAATTAACTTGTAAAAGACTAACAAAAAATACGCGCGCACATACACCCAAAAGCTTACCACTAGGGCGCCATAGACGCCAAGAAGAAGACCAAGATTCGAATTCGTTCCTACCAACTTAGTCAACCACCAATCTATATGTATTTATTTATTTAGAAAAAAAAAAATAAAAGCATGAATAAACACCGCCGATAGTAATGCCAATTCCTATTTCCTCTTCAAAAATAATACCATCAAACAATTATAAATACCGCTAAAGATCTTCACGGCTGCCACGAAACAGAAAGTAAGAATCATCAAAAGCGTAACCGTTATCCCAGTAGATTTTCTAAAATAATCGATGTAGACTTGAAGAATTTTAGGTTTTCTTCTTCTTAAATTGGAACCAATCATCGATATATCTTCTAATCCCTTGAAACTATGAATCGTGAGTTGATTTCTCTCGACCGCTCTTGCGGTAGCGTTGTACTCCCTATTAACCGTTAACCCCATCGCTCTGTCCTTGCCAGCACCGCCAAGAACCGAATGTTGGTTATTCTCAATAATCTTTGTTATAGTCCGTTCATTAATATTTGCGTTTTGAATGGTATGCAAATTTTGCTCGATTATCCGATTAATTGTTTGCCCATTAGCAAAAACGACGTTATTGTGGTTGTTGTGATAAGTTGACGAAACGCTTTTGCTACCCTCCACAATTACATTTTCCAATTCTTCGGGAATTTCATTCTCTTCGCGCAAGACCGGCTCAAGACGAATCTCATTCGTAAGTTCATAAATTTGATCAGGATCCTCAATCTCCATACATTCGCTGATCAAAGACGCGAAGTTGACATCTCTATCTATTAATTCATCGTATGTTCCTTCCTCGATACATACACCATTCTTCATTACCATAATATGACTGCACTCAGAGAGGAACTAACAATGAAATTGTTCAAAATGCATGAGGATAGAGTGGGACGACGCGATCGGAAGTCACGCGAATAAAACTTGCCTGTAATTGATTGGTGACGAATACGACAGCTTTGTTCTGTTTGAGGATGTACATGCGTTGAGTTAGATATACTTTATTTGCATAATAATATATAATTACATAAAATACTCATTAAAGACCTTTAAATATTTGAGAACACATTCGTGAAAAATATGTTTTCCCACTAAAGGAGCCATAACACTTGAGACAATTAAATGATTGTTGTGTGTTAGATTCCAATCGTTGCAGATTGAAAGAAAGGAGAGAATTTTATCAAACCTGAGAGGGTCGTCCAATAATACAATGTCCGCGTCGGAATACACTGCCCTTGCTAGACTAACCCTTTGTCTTTGTCCAAGGCTTAGATTGACGCCTCGATCACCTATCTCGGTCAAATCTCCGTAACTGAGCAGCTCCAAGTCTCGATTGAGGGCACAAACATGCAATACCTCTTTATACCTCTTGGCATCAAAAGCATTTCCAAATAGGATATTATCCTTTAGGGTGGTATTTAACAACCAGGCATCATGAGGAACATATGAAATTGAACCTCGGATCTTGCGAACGCCGTTTTCCTTCCGAATGTGACCAATAATTGCAGATAAGATCGATGACTTTCCAGCACCAACATCGCCAACAATGGCAATAACCTCGCCCTCTTTGACTTTTAAATTCAAGAATTTTAATGCTTGATCAGAAGATCCTTCGTACTTAAAATCCGCGTCATTAAAATAAATCCTTAGTGCTGGATCTTCCTCTATAAGTTCGTCCCCTTGTTTGAAGAGCTCCATCTCTTGTTTCATTAAGAATTCATCCAATCGATCAAAGGAACCCAGTGCACCTGGTCAAAGAAGATGTGAAAAGTTAACAAGGATCGAGGAGATCTCAAATTCAATTATTCATTAGGTACCTAAAGTTGACCTCACAGCGACAGGCAACATAATAAGCGGATATCTGGATCAGGCGAAATCACGTGAGTTTCATTGTCAACACAGTTCATTAGGTCATCATCACTCACCTCACTGTATAGAATAAAGCCAAGACGGTGAATACAGTACTAGCATCTAAGGTATTGTCTTTTGATGAATATGCCAAGAGCTTAACACAAAGGCAACACAACATTGCCAAGGATGGTGCGCCAAACACCACGCAAAACGTCCATACTTTTACGACAATGCTAGTCAACAATCGATCCCATTCCTTGCGTCTCACCCTATTGATGCGATCACAGAAATATGTTTCCCAAGCATAGATTTTGATTAATTTTATTGCTGTGAGAATCTCGGACATTAGATGTATACGTGAAGATGTTACGGCGGTTGTTGAGTTCGATATGCTTGAGGTGAGTCTGCCAAGTTTATATTGGATAGGAAATAAAATGAGAAGTATGATCAATGCTGTAATTTAGAAAATGTTATAATCAATAATTGGTCGATTACGAATTCCTATCCCCCAATGAACGAGTTTTCACACGAAATATACATAAGAAAATACCTGGTAACGCTGCCAATCCTAATTGTACGCAAGCCAAAGCAATCATGGCTACATAATATCAAAAATAATGAGAACCGTATTGATACTATTGTGCGAAACTGTAAATCAGAATAAAAAACTTTGGTGAGGTTCCCTTGTGGAACAAACCTATTATTTCCACGGCGGAACTCCACAAAAAATGAAGATTAACACAAGCCTCTGCCACTCTAGAAATGCCAATTTCCGGACATACAATATATAATCGAGAGGATAAATATATTGTTAGAAACTAAAGAAGGAAATTAACTCATGAAACTCCGAAAGTGATAGAACGACAAATTACCTGTTGCAGTCATTAGATACCAAATTTACTAAATTAAAATAATAATAATAATAATTTCTTTTAGCACCAGTATGAAATGGAGATCGTGAAGAAAAGAGATAGGTATACCAATATTGCCAATGTTTCCACCCACAGAACTCAATTGCAAAGATTTTCGATAAATCAAAACCATTAGGGCAGCCCGGACCTAATGCAAAAAAAAAAAAAAAAAATTGAGAAACTGAGAAACTCGGAATCATCAAAATGAATCCAAAAGAGCCCGTGATTCCTAAAATACGGATGACTGACCTGCACTCCAATCCTGGTGGATTCGGACATAACCTGATTGATAAATATGCTGCTCAACAAGGCACACAGGAACAAGCCCAAAGCGAATATATGACCAGAAGCGTAAGACTCGGGGGTACTGTCATTCTCCGATTCGACATATTTAATCAACCGATTTACGAGATAATAGGAGCCCAAAAATAGGAATATTGCTCCGATTAACTTGTAAATTCCAAGGAATGCATAAGAAACGCCAAATGAACTGAGAAGAGCTCGACGAATGGATGGTTTTCTTTGCATGAATTAAACATTTAATGTTGTCTTTTAACATGAGATGCTGCTAAATGACATCTGGATTGTTCTTGATCTTTTTAATTGTATACATAATTCGCAAGTCAATGATACCTCGAATTCCTGTTGTCATATTCCAATCTCCAATAACCTTCTAATTTGTCACCGACAGTTTTGGCCCTTTCTGAATCTTGCAAATTCAAGTTGTCGTCACACAAGTTGTAGGTCCTTGACAATTTCAACATGCGAAACACCCAGAGAAAGAACCATGACGAAAGAAAATTTGCCCTATTACCACCAGATATTGTCACATGAGGTTTGGTAGCAGGCTTTACAGAGTTAAAGGGTGGCATAGTTCCGCAATTTCAGTTTTTTCGTAGACGAAAACCAAAAAGCGTAAGGAGACACAAAATACGTACGTACGTATGTGCGTCCCTAAATACAAAATAATTTTTGGCATGCGTACATTGAATCTTTGTGCCACGGCACATATAAGTTTCAATAGGTCAATCAAGTATCATCTGCATTTCGCGGAAAATTTCCAGATAAAGAATAAACATTGTTTTACCTATTTACGTATCAGACATTCATTTTGATAGAAAGGTCTTTTTCCTGTTATAGTATGAATAACATATTACGGTGTTCTTAATATTGCAAATCATTAGATCCAAAAGATAGTGACTCAGTGAATCTTGACTTGCATTACCTATGCTGCGTTCTAAAATTAAACTCAAATGAAATTGCTGATTTTTTTTATTTTTATTTTTTAACTGTCCAGTAGGAGCAAAGCAGAACTTTTTCTTCGGACTTACTATTTCCCATTATCAGAAAATTATTAAATGACAAAATGACAAAAATGTATAATATATTGATGTTGGATTACAGGTTCGAGCCGACTTCAGTTTCACCAACTTAACCAATGGATGATTTTTGCTAAATGACATTACCTATTTATGCTAAATCGTGAGAGGAGGTTACTCGCGATAACCTGCTGAAAGGCATAGTAAGAACTTAAGAAAAGCATAGATGTTAATTTGCCAACTCTTGAGCAGGATTTATGAAAACCCGTATTCTCTGACTAATAGAGTGGCCTTTCTAATAATGCTTTTACAGAGACCTACATGTCTTTACGTTGGTCCCTGAGCAATTTACAGTAGATAAGACCGTTTAGGAACCGAACTGCATTCAAACCGCATTCAAAATTCGACCAGCTACTGCGGGACCAATTAATGTTCCTAGTGAAAAGATGATAGGGAGTTACACGTTTGATAGGAGACCCGTTGGATTTCGTAGTTGTTTATTCAAGTAATTAAACCAGTTATGCATAAAAAACTTTTGATTAAATTTAATTGATAAATCTTTTAACAAAAAAATTTGTATATTATAATTCCAGTATTGAAATTGGATAAATATTTAAAAAGTTTACCAAATTTTATAAAATTTAAATTAAACTATTTATTACTTTTCTTTTTCTTTTTTCTCATTCTTTTTTTTCACTTATTTTTCTTTTTTTTTTTAAAGATTTCAACTTGACTTTTTTGAAACTAGCCTTAATTTATTTTGCTTTGTCAAATTTTTTTCAAATTTTTTCTTTTAATTTTATAATCATTTTTCAAATTTCATTCATTCATGTATTTTTTCAATTTATTTCTTATTCTCTAAATATATTAATTATTTATTATATTCTATAATTGAATAATTATTTTTAAAGGAAATAAAATTAATAATTTAAAATTTTCAATGATCTTTTTTTAAAATATATATATTATTTTAATAACTTTTTTTTAATAATATTTTTTATTATTAATTGATTATTGATTATTAATTAATTATTAATTAATTGTTAAAAATAATTGATAATTAATTAATAATCAATTGATAATTAATAATTAACTAATAATCAAATTAATAATTAGTAATTAATATTCAATAATTAATAATTAATCAATAATAAATTAATAATTAACTAATAATTAATTAATAATTATAAATTATTAATCAATTATCAATTGATTATTGATTATTGATTATTAATTTTTTTTTTTTTTTGGACAATGATTTTTTATCTATCTTTAATAGAGAGTTGACTTATAATAAATTCTAGGTTTTTATGTGACTTA